TCCCTGCTGACAAGACAACCTGCTGGCATAGAGCAGCTACCCTCTTTGCTGACAGCTTCAGACACTGCAGTGATGTGCTAATGACCTGTCTACTCAGAGGAGCTACCCTCTCCAGGGCCTCCTCTCTGCTAAGAGTTGAACACTCACCAGACTACCTACTGGCAGAGAGGAGCTACCCACTGTGGGCTTCCTTTGAGCTGCTGCAACACTCAATAAAGCTCCTTCTCAAATTGTTCATCTTCCACTTGTCTGCCTACCTCATTCTTCCTGGATAGGGGACAAGAACTCAGGCAAAGGCCCCATTGGCCATGGAGATTTCCAGCCAGAAAAGCCACACCCCAAAGATCCAGTCACACCACCAGCACTGTGATGGTTTATAAATGCCACAGCAACATCAGAAAGGTACCTTGTATGGTCTAAAAAAGGGGAGGCATGAATTATCCACCCCTTGTTTAGCATATTATCAAGGAATAACCATAAAAATGGCCCTTGGGGCTGCTCTGTCCATGGAGCTGCCATTCTTTTTTTTTTTGAGACGGAGTTTCGCTCTTGTTACCCAGGCTGGAGTGCAATGGCGCAATCTCGGCTCACTGCAACCTCCACCTCCTGGGTTCAGGTAATTCTCCTGCCTCAGCCTCCTGAGTAGCTGGGATTACAGGCATGTGCCACCGTGCCCAGCTAATTTTTTGTATTTTTAGTAGAGACGGGGTTTCACCATGTTGACCAGGATGGTCTCGATCTCTTGACCTTGTGATCCACCCGCCTCGGCCTTCCAAAGTGCTGGGATTACAGGCTTGAGCCACCGCGCCCGGCCCGGAGCTGCCATTCTTTTATTTCTTTACTTTCTTAATAAACTTGTTTTCACTTTACTCTATGGATTCACCTGGAATTCTTTCTTGCCCAAAATCCAAGAACTCTCTCTTGGGGTCTGGATCAGGACCCTTTTCCGGTAACAAAGGTAGAAGACAGCTTCTATTATCTAAAGGCCTTTTTCAAGCTGTGGCTTCAGAATAACCAGCTCTCTAAGTAAGGAGTTGATGACAGTCACTCAATATTAAAATTTGGTTGTTGGATGGGGGGGTCTTTGTGAACTGCAAATTCTGACTGGCTTTCAGAAGAAAAACTGTAGCCATGACAAAAAGTATTCAATTTCTATCTCTGATATTTTCTGTCTAATAAAACTCTATAGAATTAAAACCTGAAATTGTGTCTGTGATGTACTTAAGTGGAGCAGAGCCTCTGCTGGAGACCAGACTGCACTCATCATGAGACCTAGGCACACTCAGACCTGCCAAGAGACCTGGCTGGGCTCCGAAGGTCTTTGCACATGAGAATCCAGGAGCGTTGGTGGGTCTGGCTTTCAACAACAAATTACAAGGCATACTAAAAGGCAAGCATTACACTCAGAAGAGACAGAATAAGCATCCAAACTAATTCACGTATGGCAGAAATGTTAGAATTATCAGACTGGAAATTCAAAACAACTATGATAAGTATGTTAAGGGCTCCAATGAAAAAAGTCAGTAACATGCAAGAATTGATGTGTAATGTAAGCAGAAAGATAGGAATTCTAGGAAAGGATAAAACATACGACAAATCAGAAACACCGTAACAGAAATGAATGCTTTTGATGGGCTCATTACTCATGAGCTCATCATCCTAGATAGGTGAAGGAAGAATCTCTGGGCTTGAGTATTTGTCAGTGGAAACTTCCAAAATTGAGAAGTCATAGGGGAAAGAAAAAAAACAGAACAACTAAGAACTGTGTGTAACATTAGCATAATGGAGACAAGAAAGAAAGGAATGGAAGAAATAGTGGTGGTAATAATGACTGAGAGTTTCCCTAAATTAATGTCAGATACCAAAGCAGAGATCCAGAAAGCTCGGAGAACACCAAGCAGGATTACCACCAAAAAACCACACCTAGGCACATCATATTCAAACTGCAGAAAATGAAAGACAAAGAAAAACATTTGAAAGAAGCCAGAGGAGGAAAAACACCTTATCTATGGAGGAACAAGGATAAGAATTATGTTATAGTCTCCAGAAACGATACGAGCAAGAAGAGAGTAGAGTGAAATATTTGATGTGTTGAGAGGAAATAACCACCAACCTAGAACTGTCTACTCTGCAAAATTATCCTTCAAACGTGAAGAAGAAATACAGACTTTCTCAGACAGATAAAAATTGAGGGGATTTGTTGCCAACAGACTTGCCTGGCAAGAAACAGTAAAGGAAGTTTTTTAGACCATGCTACAGGTCGGAAACTGGGATCTATATAAAGAAGAATATTGGAGTAGAAGTAAGTGAAGGCAAATTTTATACATTTCTTTTTCTTATTCTTAGTTGATCTAACATAAAACAGTTTCTTCAAAATAATGGTAGCAACAATGCATTTGATTATGCATGCTTCCATATACATTTATGAATACAAATGTGTATGTGTGTGCTTATGGATAAGTGAAATGAATGACAACAATGATACAAGGGCCAGGAGGGAAGAAGAGTATATTTTTGGTTGTAAAGTACTTGCACTACCTATGAAGGGATATAGTCTTATTTGACAGTTACCATAGATTAGCTGCAAATGTATATTGCAACAACAACAAAAAGTATCTTAAGAAAAGAGAGAAAATGGAATGACCTGAAATTATCAATTAAAACCTCCAAAGGCAGAAAAGAAATAGAATTCAAAAATAAAAACAAAAAACAGGCAATGAATAGAAAACAGAGTAAATATGGTAGATATTAATCCAACTATATCAATAATTACTTTAAATGTCAATGGTTAAATATACCAACTCGAAGACAGATTGTCAGGGTACATCAAAAAGCAAGACCCCAAAACAAGAAACCCACATTAAATATAAAGACACATATATTAAAAGTAAATGGATGGAGAAAAATATACCATGCCAACACTAATAGAAAGAAAGCACGAATAATGATATTACCTTCAGAAAGAGAAGAGTTTAGAGTACAAGAGTTAGAGATTGTGGAGGGGCATTTCATAATGAAAGGGGTCAATTTGGGTGATAACAATGTGTCAATATAGGTTTATCGATTATAACAAATGTAGTACTCTGTAGGGGGATGTTGATAGTGGAGGAGGCTGTATGTTTGTGGAGCCAGGGAGTTGATAGAAATTCTGTACTTTCTGAGGAATTTTGCTGTGAATGTATAATTTTTCTATAAAGTCTACTTTTCTAAAGAGCACATGCCCATGAAATGACATATTTTGTAGCAACAAAGAAACAGAATGGAAATGGAAGCATCTGCATATCATGGAAATGGAAGCATCTGCATATCATGGAAATGGAAGCATCTGCATATCATGGAGTACTGTATAGCAATGAAAATGAATGAACCACAGCTGCATGTAACAACTGAGTGTATAGAAGACACAAGAGAGTACTTATTGTATTGTTCCATTCACATACAGTTTAAGAACAGGTGAAATGACTTCCTGGTGACATAAGTCAGGATCATGATTACTTTTAGGTGGAAGGAGGTTAGGGCTAGGAGATAGCATGATAGAATCTTCTGGGATGCTTAAAATGTTCAATATTTTGCTCTGGATGGTGGGCTGGTGGACTCATATCTAAAACTTCCCAAGCCATATACACTTAAGTTTTGTGTATAGTCTTTCCCTCAGCTTGTCTTTCACCCATCTCTAATTTTAAAATGAAATCAACAGCCACATCACAACATAGAATTCACTTGAAAACTGTGCTTTATTTTTTAAACTGAAATTCCAATTGTCCATAAGCAGCTATGCCATGAAATACAAATGGAGGGTTTCAAACTGTTTACTGGCCAGAGTGTCAAGCTATTTAGCATGCCCTTGAGGAAAGAGGTATGTTCCTGCAGAGAATCAGAGAAGCAAGAGCCTGAAGGTACACCACGGAGGCACGACCAGAAGTGACAAGAGGAAGAGGCAGAGATCAGAGAGGATGGTTTGGTCCAGGGAAAGTTGTCAGAAATTGCTTTCACTTCACAATTTAAAAAGATCTGGGTCTCAACTTCTAGCAAATCAAGATGGAGAATTTTTAAAACCATATATAGGTACTTTAAAGAAATCTTTTGGCTGGGCATGGTGGCTCACACCTGTAATCCCAACACTTTGGGAGGCTGAGGCAGGCGGATCACGAGGTCAAGAGATGGAGACCATTGTGGCCAACATGGTGAAACCATGTCTTACTAAAAATACAAAAAAATTAGCTAGGTGTGGTGGTGCCTGTGGTCCCAGCTACTTGGGAGGCTGAGGCAGGAGCATTGCTTAAACCCGGGAGGCAGACGTTGCAGTGAGCCGAGGTTGCGCCACTGCACTCCAGCTTGGCGCCTGGTGATGGAGTGAGACTCTGTCTCAAAAAAAAGAAAGAAAGAAAGAAAGAAAGAGAGAGAGAGAGAGAGAGAGAAAGAAAGAAAGAAAGAAAGAAAGAAAGAAATCTTCAAGTTTTACTTGAGTTATTGGCCTAATTTCCTCTGTTCTCTGGGCTGCTGCAGTAGTGAGGATCTGCAAACAAAAGGGCATTATTCATGGAAAGAAGGAGAAAATAAACGGTGCTCATTTATATGTGCACTATTTTTTTTTTCCTCTCTGACTTACACATTCTTGGGTTTCTCCAACTGTCTGAGTCTCTGGGAAAGGGTGTGTCTGCCCGTTAATCAAGGAATACCTATTTCTCCCCTTCCTGCACTACTAATCAAGAGAAGCAAAGTCTTCCACTTCTGAAAAGTCCACTTTAGATGTTCCTTGAATTACTCAGTTGACATGTTCACTGCTGATAGCAATCTCGCTATGACTAACCAGCTTCTACTTTTGACATCTTCTAGAAGAAGAAATTAGTTGTTGTGTAGAATTTTCCCTCCAGATGGTCTTCAGCTAGAGCATAACAATTAGCCAAGTCTATAAGGGGAAACTTTCTTTCAAGGAGATCAGAATGTTGATGTATTATGCAGAGTGTTTGCTGCCTCCGAGTTCTACCTCTCACAATGTCAGAAGATGATGACTTTCTGTGGCAATAAGGATTTTTACCAGGTCTTTATTTGGTGCCCAAGAATAAGACTTTTCTTGTGTTTCGGATTTTCAAGAAAATAAGAACACTCCTTATAAGAAGCTGTTACCCAGCATCAGATCTCTGAATGCAGCTGACTGAAAAGTGGGCTTTTGCATGCAAGGTGGAAATCCATATTCAGTTGAAGGTAAATAGAAAGTTAAACTCCTCCCTGTTAGGCTGCCAAGCATGTCAGGTCTTCTCTTCCTAACTGCCCAGAGGCACTTTGCATATCACCCACCGTGGCTTTTGAAGCCCGCTGGGATCATCTTGGTGTTTGAGAGGGGGTTGGCAGTTCCAGGAGCTCTAGTCTATAACACTGACAGATATTTCTTCTGCTCTACGTTTTATCTTCCTGTTTAACAGGTAGACCAATTTGCTACTAAGTTCGTTTCTCCAGCCTGGGCTATAAAAAAGCAGCATCCTTTGGGAAGCATTTCGCACTTACTGCAATATTCCAGCGATGCCAAGACGAAATCTCAGTGAGCTCCATGCTTACTCAGGTAAATTCAACTAAGTCATGTGCTATATTAGCTAAATGGAAAAATATTTATTCAACCATTTTGCTTACAAAGATTGTTAGATTTTATACTAAGTCAGAATTTCATCTGCCTCCTTTATGACATTTGTATAAGACTGGATGCCTACAACATTGAATATAATTTATAATATACTGATCTCTATGAGCTTAAAGTGGTGTAGTGCTGTAAGTTATTATTTACCCTGAGAAGATGCAGGATAGTTAGAAACACAGGTAATGGGTATTGTAAGGCCAATAATTGCCTATGTCTCAAGAATAATTACCATGATTTGCCTGGTGTTTTATTTAGAAACAGGCTAATGGCATTCTTTATAAAGAGCATTATTGTATGCTTAAGTTTAGCTCTGTATCTTTAATAAAGATAATTCCTTAAGATCCTTTTTAAAAAACTCTAAAAGGACCTGTCTTTTACTACAAAAACTTTAATAGTTTTTATTTTTTCCAATGCTTTATTATGAACATTTTTGAATGTATAGAAAATTCAGAAGAAAAATACAATGAACCCTCATATCACATAGACACCTACCATTGAGATTCAACAATTGTTAACATTCTGCCAGATAAGCTGCGTGTGGGTGTGGGTGTGGGTGTGTGCACTTGTGTGTGTATGTTTTTTGCTGAACCTATTTCAAAATAAACAACAAACTTCAGGATATTCTACCCTAAATATTTCAGAGTCACTTCCTAAAAATATGGCATTCCACTACTATATTCACAATACTATTAACACATCCAAGAAAATTAGCAATTATATAACATTATCTTATACCCAGATCATGTACACATTTTCTCATTTGTTCCTCAATTTAAGCAATGTGTTGAATGGCTGTTTTTTTTTTTTTCATTCAGGTTTATATATTGTATTTTCTTTCTGTATCTCTTTTAATCTCTTTTAACACAGCAGTGTTCTCAGTAGCACCTTCATGCCCCAACATAGCTTATATTCTTTGGCATTGAATTTTTAAAGCATCCAGGACCATTGTTTTGTATCACGTCCCAAATATGTTCATTTGTTCATAGTGTCCTATAGCTTGTTCATCTCCTGTGTATTTCTTGTAAACTGGAAGGTGAGCCCTTTAATTGTACCTTAAATATTTGGTCCTAGTTGTAGACACTTATGTTGGCTTTTCTCTCATTGCATGTAAATAACACTTGACCTTATTCAATAAACTAAAGTGGTTCTGATTTTATAAAATGTAAGTGCCACTAAGTGAGATCTCTCTCCTGTACTTTATGCCTTCCTGGTAAATGCATAGCACATATTTATCAGCTGAATCACACCATTCATATTCAATCTCTCTGCATTCTTGTAAGTCATCCAAAATTTTTCATTTAGAACGTGGTGTACTACACTCAAAATCATTCTTTTCCTGCCAGTATGCTGTCTTTTTTTCCTTAGGATTATCTCTTTGGACATTTTTGATTAAATATATTCTTTTGTACTGATAGGCAGTTAAAGTCTGTAACTTTAAACAGTTGGTTATCTGCTTCTAGGGTAATAAGGTATTTTAGAAAAACTTAGAAATTCATGCAATTTATAAAAGTAACTAAATTCTTTAGTGTACCAACTAAGTGTGAGGGTAATCTGTATGCTAATTTTAGAATGTGCAATGAGTAACATGAAGTAGAAATAGTCTCTAAACAAATGTGAAATTTTTAATTAATCCAAGCTATAAATACCTGAAGAAGTTATGTTTGAGGATTTCATAGTGATTGTAAATTAAACTAATTACAAATGGATTACCATTGAAGTGGGTCCTTTAAATTCTTCTTAAGATAAAATGAAAGCTGAAGTTTTACTTGTAACTGATTTGATTATTTATGTACAATATTTGCTTTAGGGAAACATTTTGGTGTTTTCAAACTTCACCTTTCAGCTGGATCCAGTGATACGTCTGACAAAAGGACAGGCAATTTGGAAAGTGAATGTGAAAATATCTGGGAAATAGCAGTCCAGACTGAAGGAAAGCAAATACAACAAACCTAAAGACAAACCCTTAAGCAATACTTATTTAAAAAAACCAGACTAGGAAAAAAAAGTCTGAAAACACTAGACCACCTACATCCTCACTTGCTACAATTTGAATAGTCCTAAAAATATTCCTGTGAATATTACATTTAATATATTCAAGAATAGTCTTTAAAAACATACTTGTGATAAATTGGGTACATTTAGCAAATTCTTTTTAGACAAATTGATACTTTGTTAATTTGGCTTAGAGAGGTCTGGTTTTCAATCAATTGATTTCTGACTAATTTACGTATAGCTATGCCTGCTACAGAATAGACATTTAGTTAACGTTTATTGAAAGAATGATAGGAAAAAGCTTGCATGTGAAAGAAAATGTCAGGAATTATATGGTATCTGAGAGCAGCAGGTTAACTGGAACCTAATTTGGGTTTGTGGCTTATCTGACTTTCTGATATTTGATCCCATCCAAAAACCATCTGCAGGATTTTTAACTGCAAAGCCCCGCAAGACCTATCTCTGGCCCAGTTTATCTCCTGGTGCCTTCCTTTCATCTTCAAAGCAAGCCCCAGGAACTCAGCTTGCTTTCCTCTCCAGCAACTCAGCCATCCTTTCTACCCCTTCAGATTTTGTTTCATGCCACTGCATAATCTCCCTCATTTTGCATTTTCTTCTTCATCTGAAGTTAAGCATACAAACCTAAAAGAAAATAAGGATCTTATTCCTGATCTCTGAAAAGAAATAGGATAATGAAGGATCCAATCTGGTAGAAGTTAGTAAAGTTATAGAACCCTTCTGTTATTGTCAGGTGATCTGTTCCTTGTCCCTTTTAAGACGGTAAATGGATCTAGGAAGATCAGACTTTGTGTGTGACTTTTTCTCTCCCCTCTAAATTACATGAATTAGTTTTATCTCCTGAGGATTTGCCAAAAGGCAAAGTAGTTATCGTTACTGGTTAAACACATTGATATTTATTTATTTTAACAAACATGAAAGCAGTTGTTAAACAGGACGACAACAGCCAGCAAAACTGGGTCCCAGCTTGTGATGACTCCAGAAAATTGTCAGAGTCCCACCGTGGGGCCACTCCTCCCCATATCCTTCCTGAATAGTCATCAGTGTTCTAGGTCTGGTATGCATTCCCAGAAAGGCAGAAAAGAGAGTGCAGACTGTAGTGTCCCTGATAAGGTCATATGTAGATCTCCTAATATCAATTTGGCTTGAATGCAAGGACTACTTTTCTGTTCCAAGGGCAGGATGGAGGTATATTCCTTGGATGTGGAATGGCAGATATCTGAAATATACCTTGCAAACCATTACATTTCACTCCGCACTTGTTCCTGAAGGTGGAGTTCACTAAACCACTTTCTTTCTCACCCCATTTTGAGATAGAATCAAGGTAGAATAATAGATGTTTCCTAAATTCAAATGGGCAGTTTGCAGTTTCTAGGACATCGCCCATGGATGACACCCTTTTAATTGACCCCTGGCCTTCCCTTTCCCCCTAGGAATGACGAACCTAGTTCATGTCCTTACTGATTGCCTGTGGCCCAATCACCATACCGAGCACAACATGTAAATATCATGAAGACAGTGTTCAAGGGCAAGGCTTCAGTGTATGAAGGGCAGCAGAGGTGATGCGGGGAGGAAAAGTGGAAGAGCAAGGCTGAGCCATTCCCCAGAGGGATCCTGTTACCAGGAACATTGCCAAGGCAGGGGCTTTTGCAGCTGTGTAAAGAACAGATTAGGAGCAAGATAGAAGCCCGTTGTAAAAACTGGGGCCCAAGATCAGCACTGGACAACATCAGGCATCTTTGCTGCTAGAGTACTTAAATGTTGAGTCACGGCAGCTTAATTCCTCCTATTAGTACCTAGTTTATTCTAGAAACTGGGGTGAGGCTCAGTCCCTTACTGGCAGCCAGAATTTTAGTGGCAGAGAGAGACAAACTCCAGGAAATCTGCAAAAGTTAGGCAAGAAGGATATGGGGAAACAGAGGTCAGTTTCCAGAGAATTAAACAACTGACATCAAAGACTTAAGGGCTATTCCTGGTAAAGGAATCTTTACATGTGGGAACTGGGCAGGGAGAAAAAGATAGTTCAGCTGCATTCACATTCACCCCAAAGTGACAAGAGAAGGCAGGATAACTAAGCTGAACTTTCTTCATTCTGTTGCTTGCTAAATTTTAGAACTAAGTTTAAAGAACAATGAGACTAAGTCCGTAGATCATGACAACCTGGCTACTTCAAGTTAGCACTCCATGATCTTGAATGTTTGCTGCCATTCTGAGATTGCCAGACCAGCCTTCTTCCCAGCCCTGGCACCCAGGGCTCTGGCTCAGCTTTTTAATGCCTACTTCCCTGCACTGACCTGATGCAGCAACTTGTCCGGTGTCAGCCTAGCTCAAAACTGGGTCTTCACACCTACAGTGCAAAAAAGGTGTTGATCTTGCAAATCCAAAGGGCTGCAGTGTATTAGAGTGGAAAGAGGAACAGAAACATAATGAAGTTTCCAGAGAACAACAAGAAACCAAGAACACGCAGAGCTTAATTTTAGGCTCCAGGGATTTTCCCAGGCTTATTTTCACGATTTCTTAGGGCTCCAATTTTCTAAGTCCTTTATTCTTCAGTCAAATGGAAGTACAAGGACATGTGAGAATTCTAGATGAGTCCCTGAAGTCACTGCTAGTAATCAAATGGCTCTGGCAGCTCAGATCAGCAGGCATTTTGGGAGCATCAGCAATGACCTCTGTGTCCTTGGGATGTCACTCTCCTGCTACAAAATCTTCAGTGGATCTCTACTGCCTTGGAATAATTGGACTCTCTAGCCTCGCCTTTAAAATCTTCCAGGAACCCTTTCTCTCACTAATCCCCTTCAGGCAGCAAATACTTCAGCAAAACTTAATCACTGGTTTTTCACACTTGCCATGAATTTTTTTCCATTTTCAGACTTTTCTCAGTTCACTTTGTATAGAATAATGTTTTATCTAACTTA